AGGGTGGGGGCTGGGTTGGGGGGAGGGCTTAACGAGCAGAGCCTGGTTGTTGATGTTAAGGTGATTAAGAGAGCAGCACAGGTGAAATCAACTCTGGTTTAGCTGCTGGATGGGGCAGGAGTGGCTCCCTTGGCCTGATCAGGCCCAGGCATGGCCTGGTGACGGCTGGCTGAGTGGTCCTGGAGGGGCACGGGGTCTTGGACCCCCTGTGTGAAGCTTGGCTCCAAGGCTGCTGCCCCCATGTCTCCTGGGCCTGGCTCTGCTCAGCACCCTCTTCCCAGAGGTGCCCAGACCAGCCAGCAGGAGTGGGGCGGTGTCCACGTGGCCCGGCCCTGGGGCTTCCAGATAAGCCCATAATGGTGCGCAGGTGGGGCTCCCTCTGGCTGGGCAGGCGTGCCTGGGAGACACTGGGTTTGGTCCCAGACCACCATAATCAAGGGAGTGCTGCAGTAACCTGAGTGGTAATCTTTTTGCTGGTGGAGGGTCTTGCCTTCAGTTTGTTAAAAAAGCAACACCTGCGAGGGCACTAACAGCGAGCGCAGTAAAGGGAGGTACCCTTGACTTGCCAGTGCTCTGCCCACTCCTGCCACCAGCCGAAGCCTCAGGGACTAGGTGGTGTGGACTTGGTCCTGTCCAGGCCCTGCACCGGTGGTTGGCAGCTGCCCCTGGGCACCAGGAAGGCTGTCCTGCTCGGGTTGCAACTCGGGAGCTGTCAGTCAGCCTTGGGATCAGGGCCACTCGCTTTCCTGAGGCATCTCCAGTGGTGTGAGTGGCAGGAGCCACACTGCGCGTTCTCTCGATGAAGGGTGGCGTCCTGCGGCTGCAGGGCCCCTGCGTGCCGGGCCTGGCTTTGCTCACCTGCAGGGTTCCCCCCCCCAGAAGTCCTGATTTCTCTCCCCCTCCCTGATCCTCCTGCCACCCCCAGCCAGGCCGCCTGGAGAGGGGCTGACAGGGCGCCCATCACCCCTCCCCCTCCCCCAGCTGCAGCCTTAGGAATCCCAGCCTTTCCTTCGTAAATACACGAAAGCAGTGAACTTGGAGTCTAGCACACAGGCCTCAAAACGGCGAAGAGTGTTTGGATTGAACCCCGCTGCCCCGCCACCCCTTTACTCCTTTCCACAGTTTCCTTCCCGCTCACCATGTACTATTCTTGTTTAAAAGGCTCAGGCATTACCTCGCTTGTGCGAATGCTCCCTCCCATCCTCTAGGGTAACAGTTGCCTTTGTACGAGCTAAAGGTTCACAATTATAGGCCGACTTGTCAACCACAGATGAGCAGAACACCTTTGAAAATAAGATTTAACGCTTTATTGCTCTTGATGGTAAATCAAAATATGCTTTAGAAATAGTTAATTTAATGGAAAATAGGAATATATGCACCAAACCATGCACTGCATTTAATTAAATCAAGAGAAATACTTCATTGCGTACAATCACTGCGTCCTCCCCCCACCCGGGCACCCTGGGAGCGTCACCGTGGTCGCGCCCTAAATTCCTGGTCCTCCTTCGGTTGCCACACTGACTTCTCTTAGGACATCATGAAAAAGTGCTTGTGACCGCCGGCGGTCCTCCGGCCCTCAGCGGGGAGGCCCTGGAGCTGGGCTGAGGGGCCACAGGCCACGGTGAAGGGCAGAGGGCTCCCCCACGACCTCTGAAAGGCACTCATTTGGCAGGTTCCACTTTGGTGTGTCTAAAACATACATTTGCACGTACCTAGTATAAAGTGACAGGTTTGGGGAAATAAGCGGGACGGAGAGGCAACGTTCCAGTTAAGATCTTTCAGCGAGTGTCCAGGTGCTTGGCAAGACTGAGCGGCGCTGAACTGGGCTGGTGGCACCTCTGACTGGGCTTGGAGAGGGAGCGTTAGGGGGGGTTTCCAAGGGCAGGAGGCCGGTAGGATTTTTTGTTGCAAGCTGCACCCGGTGCAAATGTCTGCGAGCCCTGGGAAGCAGGGGCCGGGGTGTGAATGAGGCCAGGCTGCTGGGACCGCCTGGGGGTCAGCCAGGGGACCACAGCAGCCAGGCGCTGGGTGAGGCACATGTGGCTGCACTCAGGCACTTGGTGTGTGCTGTGGGGTCAGGGTGACGGGACCAGGGGGG